CTTCCTTCCTTCCTTCCTTCCTTCCTCCTTCCTGCCTTTCTTCTCTTCCTTCCTTCCTTCTCTCCCTCCTTCCTTCCTCCCTCCTTCCTTCCTTTTCTCCTTCCTTCCTTCCTTCCTTCCTTCCTTTCCTCCTTCCTTCCTTCCTTCCTTCATTTCCTCCTTCCTTCCTTCCTTCCTTCCTTCCTTCCTTTCCTCCTTCCTTCCTTCCTTCCTTCCTTCCTTCCTTCCTTCCTTTCCTCCTTCCTTCCTTCCTTCTCTCCCTCCTTCCTTCCTCCCTCCTTCCTTCCTTTTCTCCTTCCTTCCTTCCTTCCTTCCTTCCTTCCTTTCCTCCTTCCTTCCTTCCTTCCTTCATTTCCTCCTTCCTTCCTTCCTTCCTTCCTTCCTTCCTTCCTTCCTTTCCTCCTTCCTTCCTTCCTTCCTTCCTTCCTTCCTTCCTTCCTTCCTTCCTTCCATTCTTCCTTCCTCCCTTCTTCCTTCTTTACTTTTTCCTTTTTTACATTTTTAAGATTTTTTTTTTTTTTTTTTTTGCTTTTTGGCTCACGCCCGGCAATGCCAGGGGTTACTCCTGGCTCTGAGCTCAGGAATTACCCCTGGCGGTGCTCAGGGGACCATATGGGATGCTGGGAATCAAACCCGGGTCAGCCGCGTGCAAGGCAAACGCCCTACCTGCTGTGCTATTGCTCCAGCCCTTTTTTAAATTAAAAAAAATTTTTTTTTTGCTTGTTTGGCTCACACCCCGATGATGCTCAGGAGTTACTCCTGGCTCTGCGCTCAGGGATCACTCCCAGTGGGCTCTGGGGACCATACGCGGGTGCCGGGGATGGAACCCGGGTCTGCCAGGCGCAGCAAGGCAAGAGCCCTCCCCGCCGTTCCGGACCCCCGCCACGCGGCTTTTCTCCTTGACGGGCGCACAGACATGGAGTTCCTGGAGGTCCTCACCGAGCACCTGGACCGGGTGATGCTGGTCCGCGGCGGCGGCCGCGAGGTCATCACCATCTACTCCTGAGGGCCAGGACCTGCCACCCGGGCCGAGCGCGCCGGCCGGCGGCCCCGGAGCCCGCGCCGCGCCCCCCCGCCGCTGTCACCGTTTACATCCAGACCCGCGCCCGCGCCCCTCCCCACCCCGCCCGCTGCCTGCAGCCCGGAGGCCACGTCCGTCGGGGCGGACTCGGAGACCACCGTCCCCGCGCGGAACCCGGAGCCCCGGCGCCCGGCCGGCTCGGGGGCGCGTCCGGCTCGGCTGGGCCGCGCTGCCCCGTTTTGTAAAACCCGATCTCGCCCCCCGCCCGCCCGCCCGCCGGAGGAGACGCTGCAATAAAGGGCGGGGAGGGGGGCGCGGAGAGCGGAGGAGCTGGGGGGGGACTCGGAGGACCCCCGGGGAGCCCGCGCCGCCCCTCGCCCCCCGCTACCCCGCGCGCCCCGTTCCTCGCTCCGCGCTCCTCCGGGCGTCCGGCGGGGCGCGGGGCGCGGGGCGGGGAGGCCGCTGCGCCGTCGCCGTCGCCCCCAGCTCGCGGAGCGGCCGCGCGCGGGCCGGCCGAGCCTATATATAGTGTACAGGAGACATCGCGTGTATTTTTAACGTCCCCATATTTCTGTGACTAGAAGCGCAACGGACTTGGCGCCACTGTCGCGCTCTCCCGCGGGGGGCGCCCGGGCAGGCGGAGCGCCGGGGGGTGGGGTGGGGGGGAGGGAGGGGGTGGGTGTTGGGGGGGATGGGGGGCCCGGGACGCCCGAGAGTGGAGAGCAAAGTGCTTTAGGCCCAGGCGGGCGTCGTGGCCCCGGTCCCGTCCCCCGCCGCCTCGCCCGCGCCCGCGCCCGCCCCTGCCCCGACCCTCCCCGTCTCGTCCTGGCGGAGAAGCGGTGGGACGCGCGTCCCTCCCGGCGCGCGCGCGACCGACCTCCTCTCTTCGGCACTCAAGCTGGGCCAGGGCGGGGGAGAGGGGCGCTCCTCGAGGGGGGCACACCGAGAGGCCCTCGCCCCACCGAGGGAGCCCCGCCCCGGTGCCTTCGCGGGGGCAGCGGGCGTCTCTCCTCTGCCGGCCTGTCGCCTGCTCACCCCACCCCCCCACCCCGCCCCCCAGCCCATGGCTCCTAGCCAAAGACTGAAATCCGGGAGCTGGAGGGTGTCCGTCCCCTCCCCGGAGTTAGCTCCCCGGGACACGTGCGAGAGGAGGGGCGCGATTCCGGGGTCAGCGCCGCCGCCGGGCCCACCGCGGAAGCCCCCCATCCGCACCGCCCAGGATGTCCCCTCCTCCCGTCCCCATCGGCAGCTCTGGCTCGGCTCGGGGGACCCAGCCGCCTGCCTGCGCGACACGGGGCCAGGCTTCGCTGCCTAGCAGCGTCTCCCAGAAACCAGGGCCCCGGGAGGGCCCGAGTGGCCACGTGTGCTTGGTTCTTAGCGCCTCTCTGCCCTCCCAAGGACCAAGGCCCTTTGGCTTCTCCCGTCGTAGGCGCTTCTGCCCCACCGGCCCGGTGGGAGGCACCTTCTGTCCCCAGAGAAGGCGCTTGGGGCAGGTTCCTTTCCCCCCAGGGCACCTCACTACAGGGGACAGGCACTGCATGCTCGGTCCACCGGTGCCCTCGGGGACTGGGCACGGGACCTCCACCCGAGGGCCCTGGACCCTGACTCTCTCGCACCTAGTTAGACACCCTGCCCCCTTCGCGAGCTGGAGCCGCTGGGAACTCCTGACCTCACCACCCACTTCCTTTGAGCCCAAAGCAGAGCCGGAGCTCAGGGCCACCGAGTCTCGGTCACTAAGGCTAGCACTGGAGCCGAAGGCTGGACCCATTCTTCCAGGCAGCAATCAGAACGTTGGAGGGTTTCGGACACCACCGCGCCCCGTCCCCAGCCTTCACAGGTGGCTGAAGCCCTTGGGGGCCTAAGAAGCCCTCAGGCTTACGTGATGGGCCAGGCAGAAGGGCAGGGGGCCGCGTGAACACCAATTAGGGAACCAAAGTCGCACTATCGGGGCCTGGACCGTCTGGTTGGCTAAGAGCAAAGTTTCCGTGGATGAAAACAAACGTCCCACCACAGACACCCAAGTTTTCTGTGCTAAATGTGCAATATTCGTTATGAATGTCCTCACAAGTCATCCATCAGACCCTCCTCATGGCCACTGTAGCTAATGTTCCATGTTCATTCAAGTGACTTCAATTCGGAGTGCAATATTTCAATAGCCTTGTAGTGATAGTGTTGCTTTTGTTTTAGCCCATCTATGTGCAGGGCAATGCAATGAAGTTGAAAACCCTTGTAAATAGGAGAGGTTGCAAACCAAATCAAGAGTATTTATTATTATTAGGCCTGCCTTTAATTTCCAGTGTAAGTGTTTCGGTATTCCGCATTCTGCCTCAGTACTGATCTTGTGTTCTTTGTGCCAATATGAAAAGGAGAGGGTTGGTTCTTTCCTTTATTGTTGAATGCTCCCATTTAATGCTTTACAGCTTTTACTGTATTAATTTTTTAGACTCCCGTCTGCACAAAATGCAATAAAAATAATTTTATTATACCCTTCACAGCTGTTGGAACCCTCAAGGAGGAAGAATTACGTGGGACAAGAATTCGAAGTGGTCTCCCAGGAGAAAACCTGTTTTGGGGTGTGTGTGTGTGTGTGTGTTGCCGCTCAAGTGTTGTGTGTGTGTGTGTTGCCTCTCAAGTGTTACTCAGGCCTGGGGCAGGTGCCGAGGCCTGGGGCTTCCACTGGGTCCCTGGCATTATGGGCACAGCAGAGTGGCGAGTGTGGCACTGGCCAGAAAGGGTCTTGGCCTCCCTTTCCTAAGCGCATGGGGACAAGGCTGCGACATACCGCAAGCCCGTTCCAGCAAGGGGGGCCGAACAGTCCTATGTGTCAGCAGACATGTTCCTGGAACTTGTTCTGAAGGCTCCTGACTGGACTGGGTGGGTGCACAAGGGCAAGAAGTGGGGTCGAGGGGTTCTGAGGGCTGATGGGTGAGTGAGGACATGCAGACCGGAACCCGTCAGCGCCGCCCAGTGACCCCCGCTTCCCCACTCCAGAGGGGACGCCCTGTGAAGACACGCATACCCTGCAGACAGTCAAACGCCCCAAAGACAACACAGCTTTTGCTTTTTCATTTTAATTAAAAAGTAATCATCTCATTTTATTAATAACACAAGAGTTCCGAAGAGGGGGCAAAAAAAAAAAACCACCAAAAAACAAAACAAAACGAAACAAAACACCCCACTATGTAACACAAACAGGTGAGAACATTAAAACGCTGCCGGCTGGGGAACTTGAATTTTAAAACCACTGTTTGTTCAGTCACTGGCAGGGACCCAGCTGAAGTCACTGCTCTGCCTCCTTCCTGCCAGGGGCCCTTGAGGCCGAGCTCCACAGAGCTCCAGCGAGCACCACCCCCAGGGGGGAGATTCCTGCGGCTGCATTCAGAGCGGTAGCCAGGAGTCCTCCCTCTGGTAAACTTCATTCTGGCTCCAAGTTATGCTCAGCCACATGGATCAAATTCCTGACCCCGCAATGGTCCCTACCTCCTGCTGCTCGAAAAGAGTCAAGATTTTGGTGAACCTGACATCGAAGCCCACAGCTCCAAACAATCACCCTCGAAAAACCGGGCATTCACTGCCAGATCCTAGAGTTGCCTTCTCAGAACAGAAACGTAAACGGGGGAGTCGGGTTGGGGCCTGGTTCACAACTCGGGTTGAACTGCTGGTGACCGGAGCTCTTCAGTCCACTGGAGTCTCCAATGAAATGAAAACAAAACCCAAAAAAAAGCCAGCCTGGCTGGGCGTGAGGTGCCGCCGGGTCTCTGCGGCGGGCGGGACAGGGCAGGCGGCACTGTGCCTGCCAGGCGTGGCCTGCTGCTCCAGTCCTGCGAGGAGCTCAAGCCGTGGCCAGCCTGCCCGGGGCGGGAAAACCCGGGTGGGCTCCCGAAGAAGAAAGGCAGCGGCTAGGGACAAGAAGACGCCACCCCACACTCAGCCCGGGCGGCCTCGCTCCACCCACGACCCCCAGCCCGGAGAAAGGTGTGAAACAAACTGAGCCCAGACGCCTATACTGTCTAGAGAACCCAGAGGTATCTCCTGCCCCCCGCCCCCCACCCAAACCAGCAAAAAGATACACCCCAGATGCAGTTTCAGCTCTGACGGGATAAGCAACACAGCCTGTGTGGAAGTGACAGCAGGTGGCAGAGACTTATGACATTCGACGTGGCCCTGGGTAGGCGCCAAGAACATCCTCCGAGTAACTCTTAATTAGACCGCGGTACACGGGAGGAGGCCGGGACGGGGCGGCTGTGTGTGAGCCTCAGTAATGCCTCTGGTACGATCCCAGGGGGGCCTGGGGCCGCCCCACCTGTGCGGTGGTCTGGCTAACCAGGTGGGAGAGTGCCGGGCCACTCTGGATCAGGGTGTCCAGCGCCTTCTGTACACTTGGATTGTCAAAGTTGATACCTGTGGAGGACACGGGCCTCTGGCTGGCCATGTTGCTGGCGGGCGCCAGGCGACTGGCCGACTGGCCGAAGAGGCCCTGGGAAGGGGCCCCAGGCCTGGGGCCCATGTTCCGAGTCGACCCCGCCTGTCCCAAGAGGTTTGGGGGCTGACTGCCAGAGGTCTGTGCCCTCTGCTGAGGCTGGCTGTTCACCGCCGTGGAAAAATTCTGGTTCTGGTTCCCGGCAGCCACCGAGGGGGAGGCCGAGCTGCTGTTGGCCGCGACCGTGCCACTGTTGAAGAGGCTGAGGATTTTGGCCTGAAGCTCCTGCTGGGAGGTGGGGGGTGCGGTCGGCGTGGGTGCGGCGGAGGGAAGCCCTTGGCTGCTCGGGAGCGACTGGGAGCTGGGCTGTGTCTTCAGTGAGGCACCCGAAGTCGCCCCGAGTGACTGGCGGGATATCGGCCCTAGGAGACAAAGCGGGGGATCTGTTGAAAGCCCCTGCCAGGGGCGGAGGCCTCACACCCAGGGCCGCACAGCAATCACTAGTCACACCCATCACACAGCCACAGACTAGGACACGGGCTTCCCCACGGGGCCGCTTCCAGGAAACAGCCTGGTTCCCCCCGAGAACGAGTCAGGAAACAAAGGCATCCCGCGGGGCTAGCAGGGAGCCGGCAATACTAGCCCACCCACCTCCACCTTCGCTGGAGGGATCAGAAGTCAGTGCCCCCCGTCCTCAGGGATCAATGCATTGTGTCAGCGTGGACGGGTGCGCGGCGCCCACGGTGGGGCTCCTTTCCCCCAGCTGACCCCCCCTCCCCGACCGGGGCCCGCCACCCCCCAACAACGCCTGGGGATTAGAGAAATGCAGAGTCAGAACTTCACCTCGGCCCTGCCACGTAGCTCACCAGGCAGAGAGTCGGTGCTGCTCCTCATCAGCCGCTCCTTCCGCTCTCGCAGGTAGTTGATGATCTTGTCCGTCTCTTCGGCGGTGAGGTACCGGTTGTCGGCCAGCAGGTTGATGAGGCTCTGGATGGCCGGGGGGTGCCCGCCGCGCATCCCCTCCTCCGGGCCGCCGTGCTCCCGTTCCTGGAGGATGGCTTCGTCAGCCATTTTGGCTGCCTCTCGGGCGATCTCCTCCCGTTCCTTCTCCCGGCACTCATTCTTGTAGCGCTCATAATTTCTGGCCACCAGCACCATGGCGTCTGCCTGGGGCATGTTTCGATGCTCTGCGGGAGGGAACGACAGGAGTTATTTTCTCCAGCAACTGATCTGCATGCCCAGCGGCTGGACACCACTGAGCCTTGCCTGAGCTCAAACCCGATGAGAGCCATTTCGAGGACCCAAGTCTTGGGGTGGCAAAAGTCTTGGGGCAGGGTGGGCTGGACCACAAGGGAGACCCGGAAGATGCTCACCACCTTTGCTCAGGGCTGGTTCTCTGGGAAACTTTAAGATCACAGACTCAGAGTGAAAACCAAAGGAACATGCCATCTCCCACGGACTGACAAATACCATGTGAAGAACCAGCATGGAGAGCAAGCTCCAGGGGGCCGAAAAGCCCTTCTGGAAAGCCCAGCTCTCCGCTGCGCGCCTCAGGAGCCAACCAGCCTTCTGCTTTTTAATTCATTAGTTCAAAGGTCATGGATTAAAATCCAACCGTGACCCGAAATAACCCCTTTTCCTCACCAATGAGCAACATGATTTACAGGGTGGTGAGGTTTCTCGGCACTTAATATAAATGTCCTCATACATCTTCAGGACGATCTGAGAGACAGGCGCGCAGCGCGCAGGCCCGGGTCTATCTGCAGATAATGATCTGGCTACGCTGCGGAAGAGGAGTCTGCGCCGAAGACCGACAAGGCAGGCATCAGCTGCCGGAGTGGGCGCAAAGCATTAAAAACGGCTTCAGAGAAGAGCTGGAAGAACGAATTTTGGGCATCCGCCCTGTCCTTCCGGTCCGCTGGCTGTCTTCCCCAACACACGTAACAGTTGTTCCTCTGTCCCTTGGGCAGGTTCGGGGAGAGCAGGGGTTCGAGCCCACCGCCTGCTGCTGTAAGCACCGCGCTGTGCTGGAACCGGCTCTCACCTGCAACAGCGAACTGTGCCCGAACTCTCTGGAGCGCCTGCACGTGGGAGGCTCGAAACCGGCATCTTTACATTCCTCCCACTTCCTGAACTGTCCGTTAAACATCTGCCAGCACACTGTACCATACACCTCGGGGCTAACACTGCGCCAAGCATTAGCGACCCCAGAACCATGTGCACCGAAGAGACAACCAGAGTCATCGAAGACAACATCATCTGGAAGTTATACCACACTTGAGTGGCCACGCACAAATCACTGCACAAAACCCACTTCTGAGTCCGGCCCCACAAGAGTGAAGGCCCGTACCTGCGAGTCCCGGTAAATGGCTGTTCTGGTGCCCGTACCTTGTGGGGTCCCGAACATGATGTTGACTGTACAGGAGCGGTGAATCTGGTGCTGCTGGGTGATGACGATGGCGAAAGGAGACCCGCCCCTGCTGACGTCCTCCAAGGCCTGTGACAGCGACACCTCTGTGTTGAGGAAGATCAAGTCCACTACCATGCCTAGGTCTCGCACCTTGCGCCCCACAGACTCGGCGTAATCTCTGCGGACAGAAACAGTGTCCAGGTGAGTGCTCCCTGACGAACTCGCCAGCGGCACCCGGCAGGACTGCCACCAAGAGCTTAAATTAGGCTGGCCTGGCCAGGGCTTCGCTGGTGCCGAAACCAGACCGCTGCTTATGATGGGCACAGCAAGGCTGGAGGAAGTGGCAGGAGCACAGGAGCAGTCTTTCGTGCCGTCGGCCCTCCTGTCTAGTCCAACGGTCCTTCCCTCTCACTAAGACTTGCAGCACAAGTCGAGTCGGCTCTCTAAGCCCAAGCTGCTCGATGATACACAAGGTTACTTACCCATCACCTAAGGAAAGGAAGCGCTTAACTGCCCAGCCTGCGAAGTGCTAGCCTCCAAGGGTACCAGTACTACAAACTCTGGCTCGGTTAGCAGGGTAGCCTAACTGTCCTGAAAGCTGCGGTAGACCATAAAGAAGGCCAGGGGATCTCCCAGCCAGTCTACGTGGTTCCTTCAACAGGAATCCCACCGTTAGCTTGAAAGATGGTCACATGATCTACCCCTGGGCAGTAAGATCATCCCAGCACAGCTGGCCAACGTTCAGAAATGGAAGAGGGAGGCCAGGTCAGGTCAGTAAGAAATCCAGGGTGTCGGATGTAGTACCGGGGAAGAGAAGCACTCTCCCCACGGGAAGTGCTGAGGCATGCATGGGGCCAACGCCCTGGCGCCTTCCCAAGCAGAGGCCCCCCCTGAGAATGAGGGCGACTCAGAGTCCAGGTCTTGAGAGCAGGGCGGGGGTGGGGAACCCCAGATGCAGCCTCACCTAAACTTCCCAGTCAAGCAAACGTTTCCCTTCGGGGCCTAAGCCAGTTCTCAGTGGGCTTTCTGTGACCTAAACCCGGAAAACGCTGGCCACAGCAGTGCCAGGACAGTCCAAACTCAGCGCAGAGAGCCGTGAGAGCCTGAATCTCTCTTCCGGGCCTTCCCCTTCCTCAGGAGGAGGGCTTCTTACTTAGTCTGCTTGTTCACCACAATCACAGAACAATCAACAGGTCGCTCCGCGTCAAATCGTCTCTGGATTTCCTCAAAATATTGACGATAAAGCTCTTCTCGACGCCGCTCTTCCCGTTTCAAACGTTCTGCAAGACACCAACCCGGGAAAATGAAACAGACTGTGCCTTTCTATAAAGTCCGTCACGGAGCCCCGAGCGACCTGCAGGACAGGCTGGAACACGCACGCGCGCAGACTTGAAATTAACTCTCGAGACTAATGACTTCCAACTGCTGCCTCTGCGGAGTCGCTGGTTCACAGCTGTAGTAAAAAGGTTTAAAGCCACTGCTCTAGGCTAGGGTCTATTTGACTTTTCCACTTGCCTTTTTGCCAGAGAAATTTTTGAGCGACTCTGGGCAGATAAATGTAAAAGATATACATGTACTGACAATACAGGATTAAAAAAACAACCGCCCTCATTCAGTTGGAGCCATACCCCACATTTCCAGTCTCTAGCTAGCATTCTTCATCCTCTATACATCTGCAGACTGGCGCCCATCCTGCATACTGGCCCACGGCTGGCAGGCGGCAGAGCCATGGTGGAGGGACGCTGCCCGAGACAACCTCCTAAAAAACACTTTCTTCCTAGTATAAGTACACAAAACGGAACGGCGGGAGTAGGGGCATGCCATAGTTAGAGGAATGCTTCATCTGATACCCGTTGCCCAACTTTTCTTCAGAGAGGCTGTTAAGAAGTTATTCTTCCCAGCTGTGGTTCACCTAATGCTCGTTCACCTCATCGTAGTCAGAATTAGGTGTTGGCATTTAAAAGGAATTCCTGCCAACTTGACACAAGATGGATTTTTGTTTGTACAGAGGCCACACCTCTACCTCTGTACTCAGGGATCACTCCTAGAGGGATTCATTCAGGGGCTATATGAGGCGCTAGGGATCGAACCCAGGTCAACTGCACCCAGGCTATTCTCTTTCTCTAGCCCTTACACGATGGCACTTAGTATTATTTTAATATGTTCTTGGAACAATTATCTAAGATTCTTATTGACAGTAAGCACGTGTAATCTGCTTCTACTCTGGAGAAAAAAAGGTAGTAAAGTTTTAAAACAAATTTAAATGAGGTTCTGAAGCCAACGTGTCCGTGTATAAAACTTAATTATAACAATTTTAGAGATGTGTTGAGAAAAAGAAAAAGCAGGTTTAAAAAAGGCCGTATCTCTCTTTACCTAAAAAAGGAGATGCTATGTAAAAACGATGAGAAAACCCCACGGGTTGCGTAAATAATGCTGACATTTGTACTTACTTGGTCAATGGGCAGAAAGCAAGCCCTGAACTTCTTCAGCTCTGATTTGGGGCTAATTTCTTACTGCTGGGATGGAGCGATAGCACAGCGGGTAGGGCGTTTGCCTTACACGCGGCCAACATGGCCGACCCAAGCTCGATTCCTCCGCCCCTCTCGGAGAGCCCGGCAAGCTGCCGAGAGTATTCGATATGCCAGACACAGTAACAACAAAGTCTCCAATGGAGACGTTACTGGGCCCGCTCGAGCAAATCGATGATCAACGGGAGGGCCTTTACCTTTTACCTTCTTACTGCTGGGATTGCAGATTTACTTTTTGTTAGTGGACTAGACTTGATGAAGATTCTAACCTGTGTCTAAAATTTTAATTTCAAGCTGACTATTCCCTATCCACTAAGAAGCTATTTGTATTTCTTCTTTTTGTGAACTGTTTAACCAAGACATTTACTCTTTATATCTAGTTATTAGTTTCCTCTGTAAAATTCTATCAATAACGTTTCTTCTACTTTACCTTTCGCACGGGACTGACTGTCTGGGCCCGGAGGGCCTCGTCCGTCGAAACTATCTCTGTAACGGTCAAAATAAGAGTCATCTTTCCTCCTGCAATAGTCATCCATGCGTAGGTATCGGTCATAAGAACCTTCTCTCCTGAAAAGTTAAAGGAATTTGTACAAAGTTATACTGTCCTATCCTTAAAAAACAAACAAACAAACAAACAAACAACAACAAAAAAAACAGACAGGATTCCTCCAGTCTCAGTAAGGAAGTAGGCACAACAAGGCACGGACTTTGATGAACTACACGAGGCTCGAATCCAAGGCTCACCGCTTATCACCCTGCAGCTGCAACTGAGCTGAGCTGCCTTGGAAAACAATGTGCACAGCTCCTGGCACTTAGTAAATGCAAAATACTGGTAGTAATTATTGATGTGACCTTTGAGAAACCATTCCACAGCTCCCTAATCCCTATGCGTATATAGATGCTGGGGAGGTGAGTTCATGCTTCATTTTTTGAGGGGAAGGGGCCACACCTGGTGATGCTCAGGGTCTACTCCTGGCTCTGTCTCAAGAATCACTCCTGGCAGTGCTTGGGGGACCAAATGGGCTGTCGGAGATTGAACCTGGGTCAACTGTGTGACGAGGCAAAAGCCCCCCCACTGTCCTATCGCTCTGGCCCCGCAAGTACAGGCTTTATATGTGCTCTGGGTTTAATCCCCAGTACTGCACAGTCCCCTGCGCCCCGGCAAGTAAATCCCAAGCATCACCAGGTTTGTTTACTCGTTCTGGTTTTGGGGCCACATGTGCTGGGTGCTCAGGCCTTGGGGACCGCTCCCTGTGCTCACTCATGGTGGGGCTCTTGGGATATGTGGTGCCAGGGACTGAACATGAGCTGTCCATGGGAAAGGGAAGCGCCCTGCCCACTGCACTATCTCCCCGGCCCCCTGTATTCTCCTTTCCTAAAAACCCTGTATAGGGGCTGGAGCAACAGCACAGCAGGTAGGGCATTTGCCTTGAACGCGGCAGACCCAGGTTCGATTCCCAGCATCCCATTTGGTCCCCCAAGCACCGCCAGGAGTAATTCCTGAGTGCAGAGCCAGGAGTAACTTCTGTGCATTGCTGGGTGTGACCCAAATAAAAACAAAACAAAACAAAAAAAACCCTGTATAAGTGCAATCTTTATCTTTTGTGTTTGGCTAATTTCATTTGGCCTGGAATTTTCAAGTCTATCCATGTAATACTTCCTTCTTCGGTTTCAATATTCTGTGTAGATACATAAAAATGTAAAAAAAAAAAAAAGCAAAAACAAAACAAGCCCTCTTACTGCTGGACATCTGATAGTTGCAAACAGTGCTGCCATGCACAACCACAAACAAACTTATCTGAATGTATCCCTCTTTTCAATTCTGGATATACTCAGGAGTGAAACTGGCGAGTCACCATAATTGATAAATTTTAATTCTTTGAGGGATCGCCAACCTATTTTCCACAGCAGCTATACTATTTTACATTTTCACCAGTATGATATGAGGGCTTTCATTTTTCTAAACATTGTTAACACATTCTGTATTTTTATTTACTCAACTTTCACAGTGCCCACACACTATGCACTGCATTTGTTTTCCCATCTGCACAACGCCGCCTCTCCTGGGACAGAGGGAGAGAGAGACACCCAGACTTCTTCAGTGAGCACACTGTCAGTCAGTCACATATTCACAACGCACCGAGCAGCGTTTTTCCCACGGCCCACTGGGACCTAAGGCCGAGAACATCACTGACCTTCCACTTTCCATTAGAGCGCGCCCACCAGACAGACTTGACGAAAAGGAACCAAGTCGTACCTGTACACCGGCTCTCGGGAGTCTCGCATGTCTCTGTATCTGTGGTACACAGGGTCCCGGTGCTCTCGAAAGTCCCTCGAGTCTCTCGGATCACGAAAGTCTCTGAGGTCCCTCATGTCCCGAGCATCGCGCATGCTTCTGCCGTCCCTGTGGTCGCGCATGTCTCGGCCGTCCCTGTGGTCGCGCATGTCTCGGCCGTCCCGGGCATCCCGGCCATTCCTGCCATCCCTGGGTTCTCGCCTTGGACTTCCTCGAATTGGGGACCGGTCACGTCTGGTATCTCGGGTGTCTCCAAATCCATAGGGATCTCTGTAGGAGGCGGCGAGAAGACTCTCAGACAAAGACCAAGTGGCGAACCCCACAGCTTTTTACTGGCAAAAGATCCCACCCTCCAAACATTTTTTTTTCCCTCTGAAACATAGTTGAGAACACGATAAAAATTTTTTTCTTAAGTATATTCACTCATCTGGTCAGCAAATAGAGAAAAGACATGAAGGTTCTAGAATCTGGAAAGATTGGAGTATCAAAAGAAGACTGTATGATCTAGAGCCAAAGGCTTGAACAGTCAGATTTAGGCTTCAGGATTACTTCAGGATTAGTTCTGCTGGCCCAACTGCCACTTCAACCTCAGCAGGTTTGTAAAATGAAAGGAACCCTCTGATCCCCAGGACCTATTTCCCCCCTCCACGCTTGTCTGATTTTAAAAGGGGAAAGAAGTTGGGGGGATTTAAAGACACAAACAAGAGTCTTAAGAAAGAACCAATGGCACACTCTCTACAAAGAAGCGGTTCCAAATACAGAAAGCTCTGCTTAAAAATACTCAAGGGCTGGAGGGCTGGACAGCACAGCAGACAGGGCGCTTGCCTTGCACGCAGCCAACCTGGGTTTGATCTCTGGCATCCCATATGGCTCCCTGAGCACCGACAGAAGGAATTCTTGAGTGCAGAGCCAGGAGTGATCCCTGAGCATCAAAAGGCATGGCCCCAAAACAAAACAAAATAACCAAACAAATGAAAACCAAAAAACCTTTCTAGTGGGAAAATCGAGTGAAAGGAGACAGATCTGACAGTGAAGTAGAAGAACGCACAGAGTCTGTCTCTCAACGTGGCTGGGGAACAGCACACTTTTTCCACCTGAGTTTTATGTGGAATTTGGTACTTCTGTTCTTATTTAGAATAGTATTTAAAGTCTGAATACGCTTGGCTTGCTCTAATTGCTCATTGGTATGTGTGTGGAGGGCACTTGGACCCCGCAAGGGCTCCTCCCAGCGAGGGGCCAGAGGGGGAGGTCATTACTGACAGTGCTCAGGGGCCGTGTCATGCAGGGACTGAACCTGGGTCTCCCGATGCAAAGCAGAGGCTCAGTTCAGCCATCACTGTGGCGCTCTGGCTTCGCCCTCTTCCCAAGACAGACACCATCCTGGAACTCGCCCCCCAAACAGCTAGAGTCAAACTTCTTTAACATAGGGCCCCCTTCAGACTTTATCAGCTCTGCCAAAAATCATCTTCCTAGGTGCCAAGATTACAGTCCTTAAAAGTCTTTCCTCCCTGTCCTGTCACTTGCGTTCTAGGTACTTTCCTTCTTCATTCCCACTGGACTCATAAACTCACTCTAAAGCCTTACTTCTATGGACATCAACAAGTTCTCAAAACACAAATGCCCTTCTCTGCGCGATCACCCAGATTTCAGTTCATTCGACCTATAACTACAAGACTGACCACTCAAATTTCTCTACCTGTTCTCAACTGTAACTCCGCCTTCATACTTCGGGCACCCCCTCTCTGTGTTTCTTGGTTCAACCCTCACTTTTTTTTGGGTGAGCAATGGGGGGTCAGCCCACACCCACTGTGTTCAAGGGAGCGTATGTGGTGGTAGGAATGAATCAAACTCAGCACAGCTATCTGCAAGCAAGCGCCTTCCCTGCAGCATCTTTTTCTGGCCCCAACCCTCACTTCTGCTTATGCTGCTGTCCTGCTGTCCCATGGTTCAACTCACATGACAGGTGTGTCTCAACATTTCTGTTCATTGTGGTTTCTCAAGCTGGGATTTTTTTGCTTGTGCTAAGTGTTGCCCCATCCTCATGAGCACTTTACCTAATCTCTCCTAATAAATGCTGCTCTTTCCTCCGCATTCTTGGAGCACTTCCAGTACTCATCTCAATGATTTGCCTTTGCACATCTTCTCTGAGCCACTTTCAGGATTATCTCCCACCTGAAACTTGGATGAACGCTTGAACTTTCCCAGCAGGCTGGGCCTCCCGCACCCTGTCTGAGCCCAGCAGCGCGGCACTGGCGCTGGCCTTGCGTCTTTCTCGCCCTTCCCATTTCGCGGCTCTCCCGGGCCCAGCCTGCCACACCGCTGTTAACTAGGCAAGGGGTTTCCATCTGAGGCTTTGAACTGAGCAGCAGAACAGATCCATCCTCATTTCCAGATCTGGTGAAGTTTCCTTTCGTCCCCTATATCCTGGCCACATGCTCCCCCGGCATTGTGGACGCCACAGTCCTGTTGACTTGTGTCATGGTTGTCCCTTCCTCGGCTGCAAGGTCAGAACAACAAGGACCGTTAAGTCTGACTCTCCACTCTATTCCGGCTATGGAGACACACGGCTGATACTCGCAGAGGTTCAATGGATGTGTTGGCTGAATCTTGTCCCTTGACGTATTTCTATCATCGCACTTAACGTGCTGTGCTGTAAGAGTCAACACTGCTTCCCTCCCTACCAAACAGAAAGCCTCTCATATCCCTAGGGCAGAACAGAGTTCAGTAAGTGGTTAGTAAGCTTAACTAAGCTTTGTTTATATTTTTATCATTTACCACAAATACACATTCACCATGAACATTAGAAAAACCTTGGCAGAAAACCTCAATTTCACCACACAGACATAACACTGCACTGCACTGCCATCCCGTTGTTCATCGATTTGCTCAAGTGGGTACCAGTAACGTCTCCATTCGTCCCTGTCGCGTGCTAATGTAGCCCAATGGCGTCTGCTTGCTCCAGGAACATGAAGTGAGACTTGTTACTGTTTTTGGCATATCGAATATGCCACGGGTAGCTTGCCAGGCTCTGCCGTGAGGGTGGGATACTCTCGGTAGCTTGCCGGGCTCTCCGAGAGGGATGGAGGAATCAAACCTGGGTTGGCCGCGTGCAAGGCAAACATCCTACCCACTGTGCTATGGCTCCAGCCCCCACATAGACATACCAAAAACAATTTAAATACCAGTCATATTTCTATGAAGGCTCCTGATTTGTGGGGACATACAAGAGAGACCAGGGAATGTTATGAGGGCAGCTAAATAAATTTAAAAACTTTTAAAAAGTACAGACTAACCTTTCTTCCTGCTCCGTGAAGAAGAATTTCGCACGAAGGAGACGGTGGTCTGATCCCGTTTGAAATTTTGGGACAACAGAGACATCAGTCAGGCAAAACCGTTGATTGTATATGACGTGGTCAATTTCACTCTGGAACTGTCCATCGGGAGACTCCCATGTCCAACGTTTAGATTCGGCCTTCTGGAACTGCGAGTTACCATGGATGGTCTCGGTTGCCATGATGAACTCTGACAGTCTCTCACCCTGTTCATCCCATTCTAGGCCATTGGTCCCGATGTGGAGTTCTTCGGGCGACCTTCTCGGTCCTATCTTGGCATTAAAATCACCGACAATGATCTTGTAGAAGGTATGGTCTTCTTTATAGAACTTCTCCAGCTCCATGTAGAACTTTTCAATTTCTTCGTCGTAGATGGATGTTGGGGCGTAGACGACGAAGATAGAAACTGCCGGCAGTGAGTCACATCCATTCAAACGTAAAAGTCCGATTCGGCTTGTTAAGCATTCGAACGAATTGATGAGCACGGTCAAGTTCATGTTGACGAGGACCCCAACACCACCGACGCCTCTCCTGTCGCATGTTCCGAGGAACAGTTCTTCTCCAGTGTCGAAAACGGCGTGATATGATTGATGCCTTCTCGTCTCGGTCAGTCCAATGACGTCGTACTTTATCTGTCGTGCTTGCACTATCAGGGCCTCGATGGATGCTTCCGATGCCAGTGTACGTGCATTGAAAGTACAGACAGCCATTTGAGTCCTTCTTCGTTTGGGCAGCATGGTTCTGTAGGATAACATTGAGTTTATCCTTTCAGCCTTGCTGCAGAGAACTTAGGTTTATTGGGTTACACCCATCACAGTGCTCCCATTCCTTTGTTTAGCCATAAACTCTTCTCTGTGGCTCCTCCCCAACCAGTTAACACCTTTTCCCCTAATCAGACTCTGTTAACTTGTAAGATCAGATCCTTCTAAGGACACTGAACTTATATGGTATGTCTTTTGCATAGTTTACCTTAAAGCAATGTCCTTTCTGTATGAACACAGTTAATATTATGCTTTTAACTTGGGAGTTGATTGACTCCGAATAATATTCACTCCTAGGCATCTGCTTTCTTGACTCAGTTTCCCTTAGTTCCTAGCACCGTAAAAGCAGGGTCCCGATGAGGGACTGAATGGACCCAGGGCAAGCTGTGAGCTACCCTGGTATTGAAATGGGCCAGGCCAACGTGCCACAATACTCAGCAATAAGTCAAGAGCATGGTCCTGGACGAACTCTGTCATGACACAAAAGAGGTAACTGAATAAGGGCCCTGCTGGGGTTAGGAAGACTAATCTGGCCTGAGGACTGTGGTCTGGAACATATAGTGAGATGTCCTCAGGAAGAACCAAACTTTAAGCTTGGTACATCTCTTACTGTGCTCATACAAAAACGACATTGCTAGGAATGTTAGAAGTAAATTTACTACAACTATTTAAGTGGATGACTAGCTGGGGAAAGAAGCAACACACCCTGAATGGAATCCCGCCCTTGAGCAGATCTCCTAGTAATCTGGACTAATCTCCTTAGATGAGATTTTACCCCTGAGTTGATCTCCTGAAGGAGTGGCAATGTTCAACCCCACATTGTATCCCCACCCTACAGGATTTCTACATAAACGAGGCTGAAAGAGTGGGCGGGGGAGCGAAGGAGAACAAGGAGGATCCAGAGAGAAGCAGAAGGGGAATCGGAATAAACTGCAACTGATATCGACCAGCCGGGCCCTCGCTCCTTCCTTCGCCTGCCCATCACCACTGGCCTTGCCGGGGTGGGCGAAGTGGAGTCCACCGAACGCAGGCGGCAGAGAGACAGAGCACCCCTGCCCTATAGTAATACACATCTGGCGTCCCTGAGTGTACAGTAATACCCAAGTTCGGCCCTGAGATTTTATCAGCCTCTCCTTGCTTGTCCTTCCTAATGCTGCTGTATTGGGGGCTCTCTCAG